TCTACCTGATCGGATGGTTATGGTGCATGGGATCGATTCGCCGCGAAGCAATCGCTGCAAAACCTCTTGCGACCAAACCATATCGGCATGAAAACTTAGAGGGAGAGTGTGTTTGAAAGGATCCTTCTTGTAGCTTCTGAAAATGTCTTTCTGCGACGGGATGAGGAGATCGTGAGGCTGGTTGTCTGGCCATTGCACAAACGGAACAGCTCGATGTTGGGGATGTGCAAGTCTCCAATATATTCCATGGTCTGTGATGACGATGATGTGAGTGCGCGCGATAATAGCGTCCATGTCTTCTGCCTCATCACTGCATGCGAAGGATGGCTGGATGAGTTCATGAAGTCTTTGTGCTTGATCTTCCAAATGTTGCTAGCCCGCATTCCCTTGACCTGCTCTTCATCTACGCCTCCGTCATAAGGATTGTTGCATGCTTGCCGACTAGCTCCCTGCTCGAAGTACGCCGAAGAATACCGTGCCCATACCGTCGCATCCTCTTCCTTATTCTACGTAAATTTACTTCACTAACAAATCTTCATGCTATTTACACAACATCTTACTTTCCATTGTCCAACTACAATACTTGTACATCTTATGCTCAAAAATCTGTGTACTATACAATGATAAAAGAAACAACTGGTTTTATTCCAAGTTTCGGACGGGTTTAAGAAGGCTTTGAGGAACGACGCGTCCATTTTCTGGAGCATGCCGTCGTCGAAGCTAAGATGCCCGGTTTTTACGTACAAAGGGGTTCCGCCTTGAAAAAGTCGAGATGCTTTGCCGTGATAATACGTGGTATCAAGTCGTCACGTCCAGCTTCATCGATCTCGGATTTGGATTGGCAGAATGCAATGGTTTTCGATGCTAAAGACTTAAGGCTACCCAACATCTGGAGAAGAATTTCATCCGAAAACCAAGGCACCAAACTTTTCAAAGTGAAAGGCCAGTATTCCAAAGTCTTCGCGTTCTGCCGTCCCCGCATGTAGTTGTTGAGTGCAGTGACAACCTTCGTCTCCTGCCAATTCTCGATGGGGCTCCCTGCTGTGTGTATTTGGGTATCTGTCCATTCCATGAATTTGTTTCTGTTGTTCGATTTAGGTCCGTTCTCTCTGATGAAGCGATACCCTGCATCCCTGGCACTCTGATCAAGGGCGACTTTCTTCTCGACTTTGGGTTGTAGAACCCAGTTCCTAATCTGTTTGCCTCCCATGCGGTCCATCATGTATGTGAGCCCGACCAACCCCTGCCTGGTGTGCGTCCCCCAGTCGAACTTCAAGGCAATTCCGTAGCACATGTTCATGCACTCCTTGGCTATGATTTTGTTCTTGTGCAAGCACACATGCTTGAAAACATGCACATACGTCTCTGATGTGTCCGCTGGAACATCGTCTGGCGGAAGGGCGGTCAAGATGATGAGCTGCATCGTGTACGGTACTTGTGGCTCTTTACGAAGCCGAAAAGGTTCCGGAAGACCCTTATAATTCGATGTAGCGCATTCCTTCACGATTACATTCTGGAAGTAATCTGAGGTGACATTGATCTTCACGTGCTGCACTGCGTCGCAAAATTGCTCCACCTTACCTGACGTACTGTCGAGGAGACTTACCGGTAGATCACCTAGTTTGACATCTCCGTCTGGGCGATTGATGGTGATGGGGCGCGTCTCGAGTTTGAGCTTGAGTCCTTGGCGTGTAGTTTGCACAACCGCTTCGTCAAAAGTAGGTGAACCATCTTGCCCACCTAACTCTCGGACCAAACCAGGTATGTGACTCCCCGGAAAGTCTGCCATAGCACAAGTCTAGATGGGAATGGAATCGAGCTGTTTCGAGCACAATGCTGCGTGTCGCGTCAGTTTCGGAAGTCGTAGTTCAGCAACGTTGTGTCTATGCAAGTGCTTTCTGTTTGTCTTCATGCTTTCGATCTTCTGATCCTGCGAAAAAACTATAAAGAAAGCGCACTCCCACAGCGACCCGGGCTCTTCCGCTAGGCCTTTGGGAACAGGTGGAGGCGGTATCAACCGACCATCCTCGTCAACAGGCATGGTGTTTCCACACCACGTGCATTGATGACTTTTGCCGCTGCATACCGGACCGTTGTCCTGGCTGGATGATTCTTTGTCTCTTCCGCAGGGCTCGGCGATGGAACTGTTTTGAATTTGCTTGGATCGAACCCTGTGACGTCGCAATACTTCTTGACCGTCATGTCAAGGTACGTTTCCATGTCGTATGTCACGGTTTGCACACGCGTCTTGTCGTGCAGAGTTGCTTCACCTTTGGAGATACAGCAGCCGAGATACAAGCCCAATGGTGTTTCTTCTTCGAGACGAAGCTCCTTACGTAGCATCTCCCAACCTGATGGTAGCTGATCCTTGGGTCCAGCCATCTTCAAATCATCGACATAGATCACAAGAAGCAACTTCTTTTCCGGATGGAAATACAACGAAGGCCATTCATCCCCAAGGGGCCTGATTCCGACCTTTTGTACTGCTGTATGGCAGTGTTGTTCCCACATGGTTCCTGCATCAGGATGTCCATAAAAAGCCTTGACCAATCTACATACTGGCCGTCGGAATTCGATGGTTCGCTGACGGATGCCAAGCTTCCTCAGGTAACTCTACCCAACACGGAGCGCCGGTGAGTCTAGCTTGGATATACGCTTGTACGGCGTCTGCCATTTGAACATCGTTTCCTGGTAGACAAGCGTAATAGCCGGCCCACCTTGAAGCATCAAAGGTAGCCGGAGAATTGCCAAGGTCTTGAAAGAGCGCAGCTCCCATGTTCTGATCTTTCACCTGATCGCCAAGCAGAACGCCACGGCCTTTGAACTTCCTAGCCGGATCATCTTCCTTCAACTGATAGTTCTTCTCATAGATGAGTCCGTGCACGTGAGCCATGGGTACTTTCTGTCCTTTCTGCTTTGCCTCTTTGACCACATCGTCATATTCGCGGGTCTGCGAGAAGTCAAATACTTCTTGATCCATAATCCCTTCCACTCTTTCATGAATGCTTCCATAGCTTTGGGATTGGGGACCATCTCCTTCCGCGTGTGTGACCATAGCATTGAAGCATGATTTCTGTTCCGGGTTCTTGACGCGATGTTGCTGTTGAGGTACGGATGTGGTGCAAGGCATGGAAGGTATCCAATCCTCATTGAACATCGAGCAAGCTGGGACCGCCGGGATGACATCCTCAACATACTCATCCTGGAGCTGTTGTTGAACTAATTCTTCAGCCCATCCCCATCCTTCAGTGCACGACCCTCCTAACTCAAGGTCAATTTTGTCGCACTGTACAATCTTGGGAAAGATCATCTTGTCCAACATTTTGTCCACAATCTTCTTGCCCACGGCGGCTCTATTCGTTTCCTTCTTGGCTGCCTTAGCCTTTTCTCTCTTGTCTTTCTTGTATACTTTAACTTTGGCTTTGGCACTCACGGTGTCCCACTCCTCTGGTGAATACAGATGTTTGGGTCGCCGAGAGGGAACGATACGCCGACCGTCGCTTCCAACCTTGTAGGTAACACCACGCTTGTCAATCTTGCAAGCCTCGCCATCGTCATTGAGGTAGATCTTGCCGCCACCTTTGATCCTTTTGTGCCAATGCTCGATATCATCTCCCACAAGCCTTGCAACCTTTAGGCAACGAAGGATTTCTCCTGGATCTTCCTCATCACCTTTTGGTATTAGCCTTCCTGAGGTCCCACTTCATCAAATGACCATGGTTCCCCAGTCTTTGGCTTTCCTGACGGTGTCGGTGCGCGTTCATGTGATTCTCCATGTTCGGCGGCTTCGACAAGAAGCTTGTCACCGATCGCATCAATAGCCTCGTGACAGTCAATTGGATCACCCCCTATTCCAGCTCCATCATCTGCTTCGCCTGGATCTGGAGGAGGTTTGGGCGGTTGATCGTCATCGTCATCATCACCATGATCTCCGTCAGGTAGCTGATCTCCGGGATGAAGATCATTGATCTCTTTGCCTTGCAAATCGGCGTTGTCCTTGAGCCCTTCAAGCGTAGCGTTCATCTGCTCGTACTGGTTCTTCAACGCAAACTCAAGTTTCTCAGGGAGAACCACCACTTCAGTCGAGTAAGGTTGGGCAAGCCTTCTTGGCACTGCCGCATCCATGGATAGGTTCACGTTGACGAACTCGGCCATGTCCCAAACTTTGTACTTCCTCGACCATTGTTGTCCAGCAGTGATCACATACCCTGCGAATATCCCTGGGCTGGAACTCCCTTTGGATCGAACTTTCCTGCATACATCTTCTCTCTCGTGCTTGTAGGTTTGAAGAACACTTTCACACCGAATGGTATGGCTTCCCTTTGAAATCTTCACCTGTCATCCTTTTCCATGCTGAATCACCATCTCCTTCCACATCCTCGATATTGCGATTGTGACTCACGCAGTTGAGGGCAAAGGGCCAACACTGTGCTGGTAATCCTGCATGTAACAAGGCGGTAGCCACGGTGTAGATCACCACTTGGTTGGTTCTTTCTGCAAGAGAATTGTTCTTCGGATGACCGGGCAACGAGTGATCGACTGGGATTCGGAGCTGCGCCATGGCTGAGTCAAACTCTGGAGCAGCATCGCTATAGGCCAATTTAACTTTTCGCCTTCCACTCAATCTCCTCAGAGCATCCACGACGTCTTCTGCGTACCGATTCTTCGTAGGTATTGCTGCGATAACCTTGGTTGCCACATCGCGCACGACCAGAATCTCTCGGTTTTCGTCGTCGTTGCCCATGCCCATGTCAGCGGCTTTGCGCATGTCAAGAAAGTAGAAAGTGATCAAATCTCCCCATGACTTCAATTGCCTTTTGAAAGCTCCACGTTCTGTTCGGAAGTGTTTCATCTTCGCTCTGACGCAAGCTTCGCAATACGGATTTCGATACCGACGAGTGCAAAGATGTGCGAGAGTCTTAGCTTCTGCCTTCAGAGTGCCAATCTTCGCCTTGCGACCTGGTGCTCCTTCACCTTCAACTTCGATCTCTCTTTCGTTTTCTGCCTCATTTTCTCGTTCTCCGTCAGGTGGTTCTGGAGGTCTTCCTGCTTCCGCCAACGGTACTTCTTCATCAGGTGCTTCATCTGCAGAAATCTCGTCATCAGGAGGTCCTTCCTTTTCTTCTCCATGAATGCCTTCCGCATCTTCTCCTGGTGTCGCTGTCGCGGTGGCAGCATCGGCTGTCACGCTGGATAACCTTCCGCCCTCGCCAATGTCATCGAATATAGCTTTGATGCTGGTTGCGATTTCATCCTCGCGTGGTCCGGCCTTTTGAGCTCCTGCACGAACGTAAGGAATGTCGCCGTGAACAGAGAGAGATTCGCTTCCCATCCGGATTGATCATAAACGGGTCCTTGCCGGGTGGCCATACAAAACCATACCCTTGTTGCATGCATCTTTTTCCCACCGAAAGAACTGATGGCGTGTCTTCGAGAACATATGCGTTGATCGTCTCAGCAAACGATTTGGTCCTGAAGTTGGATATCAGGTCCGTTGCAGTGATGCCGTTCGCCGTTTGGAACGATACTCCATTCTCCGGGCTGACAAGTGTTTCCAGACCACGCCTACCGACCTTGCGCTGAGAGATGAGATCATGCCCGCACCCAGTGTCCATGAGGAACTTCATCTTCGGTCGTACCCATGTAGGTTGAACCATACAGGTAACTTTCTCGAAGACTTTCTATCCCTTACTCTTCTTGGAGCTGACATCCATCTCCCTAATCTCGTCCTCGCCGTCGAAGAATACGATCTGTTTGACTTTGTCTGTCCCTGGAACGCGGACGTACATGTGTCGATCGCCAGGTTTGTCATCTGAAAACATATCGATCATCTTTTGCGCTTTCAAGCGAGCCTTGTGCATTGACAATCCAAGCTCATTCATCCTGTTCTCGCTCTCGATGAGTTCAGTTGTGTTGACTTTGATTATCTCTTCACCGCGTTCCTTCTAGGATCTCCTCGGTCGCGATGACTGAAATGTCACATCCTTGGCAAATGAGACTCGTTTGTTCTCCTTCGGTTTGGCCGACCAAGTCGCTCCAACCGTCTCATCATCCGTAGAACAATCAGAGTCGATATCGCTGTCGATGGAGGAACACTCTGACTCTTCATCGTCTTCGACATATGCCTTCTTGCGCACAGCCGGAGCAAGAGGATTCCATGCTCTGCACTGCACATTCTGATCGCTGGAGCTGCATTCTGCGGCTTGCCCTTCGCTTTTGCTTTGCCTTTGGCCTCAGCCTTGGCTTCTGGTTTGTCAGGCTTTGTCTTTGCCTTGGCCTTGGCCTTAGCCTCGGCCTTGTTGTCACCTTCTGCTGGAGTAGCAGGATTGACGTGAGCATAAGGACAAGTCTCGCGACTGCAACTTCCGTTCTTCTTGAAGTTGAAGCACACCTTCTGTTTGTTATCGGACGTCGGACTACTTGATGACGTTCTTCTCCAGTTAGGAGTGTTGCCTCGTCCTCGTTCAGGTGTCTTCTTCGAGTGGCTAAACGGGCATCTATCTCCGTTCTTGCATTCGCCTCGCCGTGCTCGGAGGAAAAAGAACCTGCCTCTGACATGCTTCATGTTTGGCCTGCCATCCGTAGATTCAGATCTTTCCCGTTGTTTGGCCTTCTCTGGCTTGCCTTTTGCTTTTGCTTTAGCGTGAGCCTTGGCCTTGCTCTGTGGAAGAACTGGAGCAGGTCCGTCTTATTGCCCTTCTTGTTGGATGGGGTACCATTGCCCTTACCACCTCCTTTGGTCTGTGCTGCCAAAGCCGACATTGCATCCTTACCCGTCACCATCAAGTTGAGACCAGAACAAATTTGTTGTTGGTTCTTGTTCTCTCGACTCGTCTGAATACATCTGTCCATGATGCTGAGCAGCTTGCTGTACGAACGTTGAGGATCATCGTAGTTCAGCATGTCATAGTGTACACAAAGCTCGTTCTTCAATGCTGGCGAATCTTTGATCTTTGAGTAGAGTGTATCCCTCAATGCGGTTTCAGACGGAACGTCCTCAGGTCGCATTCGATCAATGATCTCCAACCACATCTGCTTGAATATGTTCATCTTCTGATCACCTTGATACTGCAACTTGATGAGGTAGTCAAGCGACACGATCATGTCCAGCCGATCACGAGTTCTGAAACTTTCGTACATCATAGCAATGATCTGTCTTCCCTGAATCATCTTTGACTGATCACGCATGAGTTTGTTTGCCATGCGATTGACGTTCAAGTAGAGGTCCTGTGCGTTGTCACCACCACTTTTGATCATGGCTGTCATAGCCGCGCCAAGCTTCCCGTCAATGCTCTTGAACTTGATGTTCCCCGATTGTTGAGCGCTTCGATCTCAGGATTTGGTCGGAATGCTGGCTGAAGCCAACTGATCCATTCTTCATGATTCGGGTCTGAGCAGGCACTGAGAACGTTAGCGGTGCAGTGTGACATCCAGCTATCAAGGTGTGTCACTCTTGGAAAAGGTGGAACCACAACCTTGTCTGCTTCCCTTCTGGATATCTTGACAGATGTGACTTCATGTTCACCTTCTTCGTCAGGATCATCAGGAGGGTTAGGATCTGGATCACCTCCGTGACGTTTCCGTCCTTTGGGCGTTGGATCATCGTCTCCATCACCGCCACCAGGTGCACCTGGACCAAGGTTGGTAGGAGATTCGGATCCCCTTCCTGGTCAAGCTCCTGTTGGAATTGCTCAGCCGCTTGTCTCCAAACATTACGATCTTCGCGTAATCGCTCCTCAGTTCGCTTCGCCTCACGTAGTTCAAGCCGAAGCTTGGTCATTTCCGCTTCAGTTCTCTCCAAATGAAGATGGAGCAGAGTTCGCCTGAAGCGCAACCTGCTCGGGTCGAGCCACTGGCACCGCCCCGGATACAGATTTGTCTTGCCTTCTGACTTCATCTACCCTTCTAACATCGTACTTCTGTTACAGGTAGAGCTGTACTCGACGCTGGTACCGCACTTGATGGAAACATTGGACTTGACTGATTCATCTTCATATCTTGCACGATGGGCGATATTGCGGCGCAAGTATCAATGATGGTTTTACTTCTGTTAACAGGACTGTGTTGTGTCGGTGAACCGATGTCAGGGGATCGCACATCAATCAATACTGGAAATGACAACCCTTTCTGACTACTAACTTGGCTACTAACGTACTCCCATCCCGTCCCAGAAGTTCTCGACGACCACGGTGCGTTGGACAATCTCTGGGAATGTTGATTTTCTCAGACGTTCAGCCTCGATTTCGAGCTTCCAGGCTTGCTGACTTCGCAATTGATGTTCTTCCTGTTGTTTGAGTCGAAGACGTAGCTCACCCAGCTCACTGTGTAGAGCCGTGATAGGTCGCTCGCGCTCCAAGGCCTGTTGTGCGTGGAGTTCAGCCTGTTGCACTCCCACGTTGGCTTCATGTTTGGCGACTTCCTCCTTGTTCAGTCTGTCCTGTAGGGCAGAAACCCCAGATTCAAAAACCCCAGATTCCGCCGCAAGGATGGCACCGTTCGCCTCTTCTTCGGCCATACGTTCTTCCCCTTTGATCATCTCGATCGTCTCTCGCATCGCTGCCAACTCGGATTCCCTGCTTGAAGATTCCGTCCTGTATTTCAAAGCTTCATGAGCCTTCTCATGTAGAGTATGCGTCAACTTCTGGAACTGCAGGGTCATGGTGTGTTCAGCACTTTGAACTTGCTGTTCCAGATTCGCGAAACTCTGTGACGCCTCGTTTTGTAGTTAACCCAATTCCTGATGTAACATCTCTGTTGTAAGTTCATCACGTTGATGTTGGGCAGAACTCGCTTCTTCGACGCCTCTCACTACATGAACATACTCTTCGGTAGTCTCTTGACGCCGTCGGTTCACATGTCCATCTGCGTCTGACAATAGATTCTGTTGTCGTTCGAGTTCTTCGATCCTCATAGTTGAACCTCGATCTTCTTGTTCATGGAATTCCATCCATTGCACCACTTGTCTAACCTGCAAATTCATCGCGGCCAAACTCTCCTCATGCCGTTGAACTTCACGTTCATGGGTTTTTCTCATTTCTTCTTCAGCATAAAGTAGTTGATGTACACGACTTTCCTCTGCTGTTTGTGACGTATGGTGTGTCCGACCGACTAGGTTCAGTACCTGAAGATTGCCGCGATCTCCACCATGTTGTTGGGACTGAATTGCCCTATCCAACATTGCATCTACGTTGTCATGATCTCCAATGGAGGTAAGAGGTTCCTAGCCAAAGGTACAGGATCTGAGTCAACCGCTCGTCTTCTTACCAAAGGTAGCGAAGACTCAGACGGTTTCTTGACTGGTTTCCGCGGCGATCTTCGGGATGACGATTTCGATCTCGACTTTTCCGGACTCTTGATCTCACGATCTTTTGTCTTTGTAGCCAACTGTAGACATTGCATCACCGTCTTCGATGGGCGTCTGTCAAGTGGCTTGGGCTTTGACCCCGTTGACGTAGATCTTGGCGAAGACAACGTCCTTGGTAACGATCTCGCTCTTGCTCTCTGATTGACACGTTGTGATGACTCCGATGGCTTTGTTTTCCTTCTTTCTTTTGTGGTCGCTGAATCCACAGAGATAGTTGTTGCTTCGTCAACAGTCGAGTCTGCGACTGCTGGCATTGCCATATCACCACCAAAGGTCATTGTCGTATCTGCACTTGATCCAGATGTTATTGTTGGTGTATTGACACGATGTCAAAGTTCTTGTGTAGGCAGAGCCCACGGGTGATAACCTGCGCGAGGGTTTGGTTCCGATATTTTGTATGATTGCTCACCTCACCGAGCTTTAGGTTGTAGTTCGAATGCCCGCTATAAGAGATTGACTGTCGTGACCCGGGCAGGCAACTTCGGACTCCTTTTCTCTGCGTCTTCCCTGCAGCAGTCGAAGTGTCTGTGCACGGGGGCAATACACGCAATGGCTATCACCTGGGAAACAAGAGAATATAGCGTTTGCTATTTGTATCTTCCACCTCGGGCTCTTTGAGCTCGTGGCTTGGGCTTGAGCCAAACATTCGCCGGAGTTGTATAGATCATGGGGTAGCATGTGGATTCCCACCATTTCTATCGTCACATTGGTACACATCTCATAGCTACTCCGTAGGATAACAACATTGCAATAGGCATCGAGGTCTCTTCACAGTAGTAGTAGTAGTAGTAGTAGTAGTAGTAGTAGTAGTAGTAGTAGTAGGAATAGTAGTAGTAGTAGTAGTAGTAGTTGTTGTTGTTGTTGTAGTAGTAGAAGTAGTAGTAGTAGTAGTAGT